CCCTTCTGGCTTGAACCTGTGCAGGTCTTATGAACCCTGCCACAGTCTCTGTGAGTTCTTATGTGCATAAGTCCTGTTGTGTCTGGAAAGTATCTATTACCTCTGGCTCTTACAATCTTTTTGTTGCCTCTTTTGCTTAGATCCCTGAGCCTTGAGAGGAGAGGTTTGATGAAGATACCCCACTTAGGACTGAGTAATCCAAAGTCTCTCAATCTGCATATTATACAGTTGTGCATCTCTTTGTTAATCATGATATGCTGCAAGAAGAAGCTTCTAGCTGAGTGCTGCACCAACCTATGGGTATAACAATATGTCTTTAGGGGCCATTTCATTGCAGAATAATAGAAGGTTTTCCCGTAGGCCTAGGACTTATTTACTGTCAGGTTTTAGCCACATTAGCAGTGTCAGGTATGGGTTCCTCCTCATGGAGTAGTTCTTTAATCCTGTGAGGAAGTGGTTGGTTAATCCCGTAACGTTTGTGCCGTTCTTGCACCAGTATATCTTGTGGGTTGGTTGCTGTTCCAGGCCACAGTGTTTGCAGTTAGCTGAGTGATATTGATGATTATTTTTCACTGGTAGCATGCAAAGTGCCTCCCAGTGCCAAATGCTAGTCAGCAGGGGTTATGCTTCTAGTTGGGCACCAACTTAACTTCTCCATGTTTGATGGTATAAATAAATGCAGGCTCCAGCCACAGGGACTTACCATCAGGTTGTAACCAGCAGCATTGGCCGTAGCCTGTGATATTTGGGGAGAGTATATGTGGGACTCTTTTGCCCAGAAACTCAGCAAGATATAAACCTTTTTTTGCACTGGAAGTTTACTTGGTGGCATAAGGTGTCTAGTTGGGGCATTGTCTCCCCCATTATATGATGACGCAATTAAATTCCTCTCCACCTATTTTAGGGAACTTCTACAGTAGGGGGTTTCCCTGTGGTTTTTCAAGAGCCCTTTAGTGTTGATTGTCCCTCCCCGTATCCCCTCCTTTACCCCGCTCTCCCATCTCTTTCCCCTTTATCTCTCCTGTTCTAGTTTCTCCTCTATCTCTTTATAACCTGTGTTCTATTTCCCTGTCCTTGGAAGACCCTTTCCTCCCCTCTGGTTCCTTACTAGATACCTAACTTCTGTGATTATTTGGATTGTAGCACACATATTGAAAGCTTAAAAGTTAACATTCAAATATAAGAGAAAACATGCATATTTATAAGCAGTATAGGGATCACAGTATTTCTTTTAGGATTGATATTATAATTTAATCCTTAAATAGATATTCTGAATACACACAATATATTCCTAATACGGCATACAAACTATTTCAAAAAAGCAATTTTTTATTTTTTATTTTTTTTTTTGGTGGTAGGTATGGCTTGCACAGTGTACATAGGGATGCAGTTTTGCTCTTTGCCATAAAGAGTACAAATTTGTGGTGATATTTTATTTGTGCTCCAACAAATAAAGCTTGACTTGGGATCAGAGGACAAAGCACACGCCTTTAATTCTAGCATTCTGGATGCAGAGATTCATCTGGATCTCTGTGAGTTAAAGGCCACACTGGGAACAGAACCACGCATGATCGCACACACCTTTAATCCCAGCGCTAGTTAACCATAGAGGTCTGTAGGTATGTACAGACAGACAGGAAGTAATGATGCTGGGCGGAAAGAGGAAGTAAGATGGCAGGGCACAGAAAGGCATTAAAGGCATGAGTATACAGGAAGTAGCTCTCTTGGGCTGAGGATTTCCTGGTGGTAAGAACTTGTGGCTGACTTGTTCTTCTCTTCTCTGATCTTTCAGCTTTCACCCCAATATCTGGCTCTGGGTGTTTTATTAATAAGACCGTTTAGCAATTCATGTTACATAAATTCTTAGCACTTTTATCCTAAATATGTATCATTTAAAAATAACAGACAGAATACTCCTTAAAATATAAAAGTATTTGGTCATTTGTGTTAGTAATAGAGTATAAATGAATTAAAATGCTTTATTAACATTAAAGTCTCTGGTTTGGAATAATAAATATTATCAGACATTTTGAAGGAAAATGAACTTCCTTACTTTACTTCCTCATTTATTTATTTGTTTATTTACTTTTATGTTTATGGGTTTTGTCTGCATGTATGTTTGTGCATCATGTGCATGCGGTACTTGTAGTGTCAAGAAGAGGACATCAGATCCCCTGGAACCAGGGCTACAGGTGGTTGTAACCACATGGGTCCTAGGAATTGAACCCAGGTCTTCTGCTAGAGCAGCCAGTGTTCTTAGCCACAGAGACACCTCCCCTGCCTCCCTCACTTCTTTGTTTGAATAATTGTTGATTTATGCTAAACAGCATCTGAGAAATTTATAATGCTAAGATGAGTTCTTACCGTTATTTGGAAGTATTACATATGCTGCCAATAAGGGCCTTATAAGGGCCTGTAATAGCCCAGGCTGAGGAGTTTATGCTCCTCTTTCAAGAGTCATGGAAACATTCAATAATGAGTCAGCCACACTGCGTTCCTCTCAGCATTTGCAGTGTTAGGCTTTTGCACAGACAGGCTCTGATCATATGCTGTTTTTTTGATAGACTCCTATTATTTTCTGAATTGGAAATTAATGGAAGATTGTTTTCAATTATCTAATCATCTAACTCTCCTCCAATGTAGTAGGGGATGTTCTTTAAAAAATGAATTATTTGACTTCCTTATAATTATACCATGACATGTTTTCAGAGCGGGTATTTAAAAACCTTTAATAACTTATAAAATATTTCTTGTAGCCGATTCTACTGGCACATCTCCTCACACAGTAGTTGCTGACTTCTGCTCTTTTCTATTCTGAAACCATAATTATTATTATTATCTTCCTGCTTTTTTATCTCTTCATGTCTTATTGTTGACTTCTGAGACCTCTGAGGAAAAAAAAAAATCTGTGTTTGGGTTGATTACTGTGGAGTTGAAAACAACACTTTACAAAGAACTTTCTCTCTCTGTCCATGTCCAGGTCACCTCATTGACTGTTGACCTTTTTTTGTATGGTCCATATGAATGAAACTAGTGTTCTGATTTCTGGTATAACCAGATGTGTCCAGAAAATAAGAACTATCTGAATCATGTGTTTGCTTAAACATTTGAAATGGAATATATGGACAGTTCACCATTCTTATAGCCCAATGGAGAATATTTGTATTCTGTCCTGAGAAGTAATAGAGTAGAATAACAGAAAAAATACGAAATAAATCAGTCTAGGAGAAAGCTTAGACTTGGAGTGCATAAATCACAATTCTAGATCCAACTCATAAGTAGTGTTGGGAAAAGAATACAGGATTTGTAGTCATCTAAAGTTTGCTTCTCTACTTGGCAACTTCGAGGGTGGACAGACAACCTTGAGTCTTAAAAGTTATAGCCTTTCAGAAAGCACAGTGGTGGAGCCCAGTTCCAACTGATACTTCTACAAAACACTCCTGCACCTAAGGCTCAGGGAACGTTGTGGGAAGATTGTAAGAGCCAGAGGATCAGGGAGTTTGCTGTGAGATTGTTTTTCATAATAATATTAGAAGCTAAACCCATGAAGACTCACCACATGAATCCTTCACCGTGACCTGAATAAGGATAAGATGAGCAGACATACCACTTACAAGCTGGGTAATTAACTATCTGCCAGAAAGAGGAGGCCAGGAAGGCGGTTGGAAAGTTTTCTTTCTGGCCTGAAGTTGGCCATTGCTGGGGGTTACAGAATGTTAAGGTGATCAGTAACATCTTAATATTACTTGGGGTTCATTGGGCAGGGCAGTCAAGAATCTAGGGGAACAAGTTAATTTACTTCTAGAAGCCAAATGATGGTAGTTACTGGAATTGTCGCAGTTCAACCAAAATGGAGGAGTTCACAAAATGCCCTGGCCAACAGTAGGGTCAGGGACTGCGTGCTGCCATTTACTGGGGCTCTCCAAATCAGAGTGCTCCCAGCTACTGTGAGATCATCTCAGGAGTAGTGGCATCAGGCCTTCAGTCCCATTGCCTTCTGTTCTTCTTATCCTTCCCTGTTTACTTGTCAAGCACTGGGCATTTTAAACAAGGTTAGTCCTTAAGGTAGACTAACGCAGATAACATTTCTACTTTGTCTGCTCATTCCATCGGTCCTTCCTCTTCACTCTTTTTTTTTTTTCAAATCTCAGAGTATCAATTTAATGACAGGCTTTCTGCTACCGAATAAATAAATGAATAAATGAAAGGTGATTTAGAGCAGAGCTTTTCAATCTTTTATGTGCACATAAATCACCCACAGACCGTGTTAAAATGCAGACTCTGATGCGGTAGGTCTGCTGCAGCAAGGGTTCTGTATTTCTAAGATGCTCCATGGTGCTGTGCTCTCTGGACCATTCTCTCAATATCGAATATTTAAAGACAACATCATAGGATGCCAGGTCATCTGTGTACCGTTTCCTTTCCAGTCATGTTTAAAGAAATGAGTTCCTTAGTTGAATTCAGTTGATGTGTCCAGTTGCAGAGGAAACCACTTTAAACTCTACCTGAAGACTGTTAGAAGGAGGGCAGTTCCAAATTTGAGAAAGAACAATATAAACTGGATATGAACACCACAAAAACAGATGTTTTCCTACATCACAGGAATCCAATGACTCTCAGATGATTCCAGTTTCCTTTTGCTAAGCTGAATGTTAAATTACCACTGCAGTATTGCTCAGAACTGAATCTCTCTGAACTGAGAGATAGCTTATTAAATTTATCCCAGTGCATGGGCCACACACTTATCTCAGCATCTTGACTGCTGTAACACCTGCATGAAAGCAAAGTGAAGTCCATCTTTATTCTTCTGCCTTTTCATTTGGCATCTGCTCAGTAGGCACATTTATGAATAATTCTGTTGGAATTGACTGGATAATGCTGATCTGGGTGATTAAACACTGCAGAGTATATGGAAGTCCCACGTGAGAATGCTTCTGTGTAAGCAATATGGCAGAGTGTCCCAGACTGGCCAGGCTCATGCCCTCTCTTTCTGTTTCCAGGGAGGAGAACACTGTTACTACCAGGGCCAGATCCGAGGAAACCCTGCTTCATTTGTTGCCTTGTCCACATGCCATGGACTCCAGTAAGTGCCGCATAAGTTATTTATACATTTGCTATTTCAATAGCTTTCCTTTATGTTTAATGTACTAGTAAAATTTAGAGTTTCAGGATGTACTAGTAAAATCTTAGAGTTTCAGAAGCCAGAGGCTTTTAAATTATGCTGCCATACAGTGATACTTGGAGAATTTTTCTAGTTTCATCTAGATCCAGACAGGAGTGGCTTGGGTAACTTGGTTTTCTGTTCTTGGGGATGATTAGTCACTCAAAACCAATTCAATCCTCCACTCTTTCTTGATTTGAATTTTTATATTTTCCTGAAATGATAGAAATTCTAGCAGATGAAAATTCATGGCTCTGTACAAAAACAAAGGCTGCAGATGACTTCAGAAGCTTTGTTTACAGCAGGAACCCACGTAGCACACAGCAGCCATGGGAGGGTACACACACGCTCATGGAGCTCTGGAGACAAGTTTGTCCTTCCTTGCTTCCTTTCTCATGACCTTCACATTACAGAATGCTTGTTGATGGTGAACATGGGAATACACCTCTCTCTATCCTCTCCATGATGGTGATACCCACAGGGCCATTTTCTATTTGTTTTATGGCCTCTTGAAAAACTACCAGTCCATCCCCGAGCATTCTGTTTAGACTGAATCACTCTATTCCTTATGGCTTATTTTACTTTGTTTGCACAGAGTGAGCTAAGACTTAATTACTTTTAAGTTTTGTTGGTAGATGTCCTGTTTGTCATGAGTTGGAAATATAGCCTTTTCCATCTAATAAACTGTTACTATGAATCTGCTCTGTACCAGGCACTAGAAATGTTAAGGCAATTTTAGCATGTGTGAGTCCTGAGACCTCAGTGTAGTGTGCAGGGCAAATGTAGCCTGGCTTCATCTTATGGAATATGATAGGTATATTTAAGTACGTTTGTTTAATTTGAGAAAGGAAAAAACCACACCATGGCCAAGTCCAAGCTGAGGATTGGCACTGGAGGACAGGTAGAGAGAGGATGAGAGCTCAAAGGTGTGTCACACGCAGCAGGTGGAGGGGGCCCTGTGGCGTGCTTCGAGAGAATCCTCCAGTGGATCTTAAATCTACAGTGGCAATGGAATGAGAAAGGCTGGAGAGTCTGGCTAGTGGCCCAAGTGACAGCTCTGGCCAAGCTCTGGGGAGAGGTATGTTAGAGAGAAACTGCCAGGGTAAGTGAATGACCAGAGGAGAGAGGCTGTGTGCCTGCTTAAAGCAAAGCTTCTATTTACTGCTTATGATAAATAACTGCATATTTATTTTGCATATGTTCCTTGAGTAAAGAGAGATTATTAAAGACATGGCATCTTCGCTTATTATCCAGGCCTTGATTTTCTTACCAGATGAAAGAAATGTTGAAATCATTTTCATTGTAAAAGCAGTGTAACTAATCTCAACACGTCAGCTGTAGGCTAGGGATATTATGTTTGACCTTGCTGACATTTATAACAGCAAATGTGTGTTAGAAGGAAGAGTGAAAATATAAGAAACCTTTTCCCGTCTCTCTCATACTCTTAGAATCTCAGCCCAAGTCACAATGAGAGCATTGTGCTTACTGTTTTTTAGTTTGCTTCCCAGTTTCCCAAATGGACAGTGTTGTGAGTCCCAGGAGGGAACTATGAGCCCCTTTTGTGGGCTCTGCTAGGCACGAGAATCTAAGAACAAGAGCTGGGTTCTACCCTCCCACAGTCCTTTAAGGAAGGTGAGAACAATGCCTTTCAGGATCATGCCTCAGTTGCTTTAAGTTAGTATATATATTTTTTTTATTTTTTGAGACAGGGTTTCTCTGTGTAGCTTTGTACCTTTCCTGGGACTCACTTGGTAGCCCAGGCTGGCCTCGAACTCACAGAGATCCGCCTGCCTCTGCCTCCTGAGTGCTGGGATTAAAGGCGTGCGCCACCACCGCCTGGCTTTGAGTTAGTATATTTTATACCTACCTTTAAAAACTCTTTCACTTAAAACTAAGCGAAGTGAAATTAATAGAAAATCCATGATGTGCTACAATTACTGACAGGATTGTGTGCACCTGTGTTTGGGCTTTCTTAGATGGTAGAAGCATGTTTTGTACTTTTGTTACTGATGAACTATTTTGTCATCATGATTTTACTTCTGAACACAATTGCTCCCAGCAATATTTTGGAGGAATATTGCTAAGCATTAAAGGAGCTAGGCTATCTCAGTTATAATGGTTTAGGTATAAGCTATATTACTTCATTCCTAATTCATCTATTATGAAAGACCAAGTACATGCTGAGGTTTATTCATGTTTCTGATTCACTGCATTTAGTTGAAGAACATAAAATGGGAAAGATCATATTAATAAGCTTTTCTCATAGCATCTATGAAAGTACATTTATACAAATTCAAAGGATTAATAGGAAATATTTTGATCCATGTATGCTTGATATTATCACAAAATCTTGTAACTATGGGAATCTAAAAAGATGAAATGAAATAAAAGTTTATTGCCCTCTGGTGGAACTTTGTAAGAATGGCTGCTGTTTTCTTTCAAAGTCTTATTTTAATTCACTTTTATAACTATTTAGCTCAACTGTTCCATAATGACTTGGTTCTATCTATAGGGTTTAATTGTTACAGGCTTAACTTATGCAAAATTTATGTTATATTGTAAAGCTGTCAATTCTCAAAGCAAATGAAACAGCTGTTTTATTATTATTATTATTAATTATTAGGCTATTAGTAAAAGCATGTTGTTATGAGGAATCATAATTTTCTTTTTTATCTTTTAATTTTTTTATTATTCTCTTACACATTACATCCTGACCACCATTTCCTCTCCCTCCTCCCCTCTTAGTCCTGCCCCCAACCTTCCCTTTCCCCCAGATCAAATCCTCCTCTATGTCCTTAAAAAAAAGAGCACACCAAGGTGGTAGTGGTATATGCCTTTAATTCCAGCACGTAAGAGGCAGAGGCAGGCAGATTTTTGTGAGTTTGAGGCCAGCCTGGTCTACAAATCGAGTTTCAGGACGGCCAGGTCTTCACAGAGAAATGCTGCCTTGGAAGGAAAAAAAAAGCAGCCCCCCCCAACCCCACCCCCGGGATATCAACTGAATATGGCATAACAAATTACAATAAGACTAGTCACAAGCCCTCCTATCAAGGCTGGATGAGGGACCTCAGTAGGAGGAAAAGGGTCCCAAGTGCAAGCAAAAAGAGTCAGAGACACCCCCCACTCCCATTGTTAGGAGTCCCATAGGAACACCAAGTTACACAGCCTTAACTTCTATGCAGAGGAGCTAGATGAGAACCTTACAGGGTCTGTGGTTGTTGCTTCAGTCTCTGTGAGCCTGTTGAGCTCTGCTTAGTTGATTCTGTGTGCCATGTTTTGGTGTCTTTGACCCCTCTGGCCCCTGCAATCATTCCTCCCCCTCTTCTGTGGGGTTCCCCTGGCTCCACCTAGTATTTGGCTGTGGGGCTCTGCATCTGATCCCATCGGTTCCTGGATGATGCCCCTCTGATGACAATTGGGCTAGGTGATTATCCATTTTTTTTTTAAGCCAGTAATGTTTGGTTCTACCTTGGGTTACTAGGCTGTCCAGCCTCTGGTTCCTGGACATCCAGGCCAACCAGGCATGGGCTCCCTCTTGTGGTTTGGGCCTCCAGCTGGATTAGACTAGCTCTGCACCACCATTACCTCAACATATCTTGCAGGCAGGAGAGATTGTAGGTCGAAGATTTTGAGGCTGGGTTATGTCCCAGTCCCACTTCTGGGAGCCTTGCCTGGTTAGAGAAGATGGTCAGTTTGGGCTCTGTTTTCCCTATTACAAAGAGGCTTCGCTAGGGTAACTTCCAAGGATTGTAGATTCCAGGGATTTTCTGCACTGGGTTTCTACCTCACCTCCCTGCCCCCGGCCAAGTCTTCCCCCAGTTCCAGTCCTCCCTCCATCCCACCTGTGCCTGATCCCTCTTGCTCCCTTCCCCCCAACTCCCAGTCCACCCATAAAATCAGGTGTCCATAGGTGTATGGACTTATGCCTGGGTCTTCAATTCAATTCCATTGATCAACCTGTCTATTTTTATGCCAATACCATGTGGTTTTTATTACTATATCTCTGTAATACAGCTTCAAATCAGGGATAGTAATACCTCTGGATGTTCTTTTATTGTACAGGATTGCTTTAGCTATCTGGGTTTTTTTTGTTTTTCTGTATGAAGTTGAGTATTGCCCTTTCAAGGTCTGTTGGAATTTTGATGGGGATTGTGTTGAATCTGTAGATTGCTATTGGTAAGATGACGAGTTTTACTATGTTAATCCTACTGATGGCAGATCTTTCCATCTTCTGATATCTTCTTCAGTTTTTGTATAACTTTCTCCAACTGTGTTAACAACCAACTCAGTCAAAATCCCTAATTTCAGGCCTTTCTGTAATTATCATCATTAGCAGCATCCGGCCAGGACCACCCCCCGGGTGGAGGGAAGTGTCTTATCTGAGCTACCTCCCAGACTCTGGAGAACAGACTTAAGTATCCAGAGTACCTGCTTGAAAAGGCCTGGCGGATGTGCTAATTAAGCTTAACTTTCCCCTTTTCCAAATCTTATCTCTAGTTTTAGATATCCTTTTTAACAATTACCAGGTGCAGCTAGCTGTGATGGAAGTTTCCTAGCCAAGATGCCTAGCCACCAAGTGCACTGCCCTGCCAGAAAACGTCAGGAGCTGAGACAGCTTGGATAGATCAGGGGACCAAAGGCAAAAAGAAGGCAGTTTTATTTTCGCCCATGACCTAGTGACTTATAGGTTCTATAGGTTCTTAACATTTCAACTAACCACTTCTAAGAATATAGTTTGAGCACATAAATCCCCTTTGCTCAGATATTAACCGAATTTAGCCCTTAGTTGATTCATTTCCCCATTAGTCACTTCCCTTTTGGGTTGTAAATAATAGCTAAAAATTACCACTTTTTTTGTGTGGATCTATTGCTCCTCCTTTTGACCCTGAGGGAATTCAAGCCTGGTGAGCTTGCCTTAGCCA